AAAATAGAACAGACAGAATTAACTGCACGAGTAGGCTCTCTCTGGGAAGCATAGGTATCATCAGCTCAATAAGGTTTGAAGGCCTTTGGAGTACAGGGAAGGCTAGATGTGCAGGGCGGGTCCAGGGCAGGCTAGATGTGCAGGGCAGGTCCAGGGCAGGCTAGATATTCGTACTGTCAGGGCTGGACGGGACTGTTGACACAACTGAAGGCATAGCAGCTGCTGGCTCACACCCACTGCGTGTCCTCATAGGGTACACGTTAAAGGTGAGTGCTGGTGCTAGCTGCACTGTCATCCGTTTTTGCAAGATAACCAAGCTGCACTCTGATGGTGCCCTTCTATCTTGAAGCAAAGTCTCCTATGCGGAAGGAAACGCTTTACCTGTGATTTAAGAAAAAAATTATTATCTTGTTTTTTTTTTTCAAAACTAAAACTTATTTTTAATTTACAAACATATGAGAATGTTTCTATCTCCTTTCCTGGCTCATTAAAACAGTCTCTTAAATCTACTTTGTCATCTGCCAAAGTAGTACTTTCTGTGTTTTTGTATACTTTAATTTGGAAAATAAATAAATAAAACTCGTGTTTTCTCCCAGCTAGCTAATTACCTTCAGGTATAATTTTATTCGCTTGATACATGAAAACAAATTGCAAGCTTTCCTAGTAAAATAATTTCTTTTTTTAAGAAAATCATGGTGTTATTTGAATGGTGGGGAACCATTCAAAATCGTCAAGAAACATAAGGAACTAATTTTTGTTCAGGCTGACAAAAATGATAATCACAAGATGCAAACTCTTAAGGTTTTAATGAAAAAAGTGTTAACACAGGAACAAAACAGGAAGTGTTTCTTTTTGCCAATACTACCCTCTAGTGGAAGATTAGGCAATAGAAAAGGCATGGTTTTGGAGAAGAGCTTTTCCTTAATTCATTACAAAATAGAATATTTATACAAAAGCAGATTTGTGGACATTTTCATTTAGGTGTCCTTGAAGCAAAATATTACAAACTATTGATTATGCTTGTTGGCATTGCATTTCAATAAATTTTCTCATCTAAATAATGCATTGAGGAAGAGCTGTGTACAACTGGCTGCAGATCCTAACCACAATGAAAGGTTGTAACTCAAAAATATGTACCATGTGTCATAAAAAGAAATACCGCTATAATAACTGCATTGATTTATTCTTCAGACCATCAGTGGCCAACAAATGCAAGGGGACGATCCCAATTCTTTTAATGATCTCCATTTATTTACAGCCTTAGGATTGTATCTAATCAATTTTTTTTTGGCCAGATTATAAAAACAACCATTGTGTGTTGATTTAGAAGGTGACTCTTGTGAATGTTATCCTCCAAAATAAAGGTCACTATACTCAATGTAAGCAACTGTGTTGGTGGAACTGGAAAGGGACTTTGGTCTCTGAGAATCAAAATTTAAAAATATTACTGTTTTAACTATCTCCTGGAAAGGAGTACAAAGAAGAAAATTCCTAGGAACCTATTGAATGCTGAGCTTTGGAAACGCATGTCTCAAAACTCTGATGTTTGGCTTCTTTTTGAATCATTAGAAATTATAACTTAGGGATGCAAAACAATTTCCACACCTTTAATACAAGATCCTCTCATAAAAAATTACTGACACTCTTGAAAGGATCAGTGATTTACATGTTTGCCCCTGACTGCAACCTCAAAATCAATACCCTGCCCACCCCTCACTATAGAGAACTAATGCTTCCTGTATTTGTCATTTGTTCAGATTCTGAAGTTCATGGTTTATAATAGAGGTCTCATTCATAGAAGAGGTTGTGAATTCTATATGCCAAAACAGAGGGAATTATACTTTACTTTTCAGTTTTGCTTTTAGTACTAATCTTCCTGTTTCTTATTAGAGGCTGCAAGTTTATTCATATTCACAACTCAGTAGTCAACTCAATTTTGAACATAAAAGGAAGCTGTGTTTGTTTGCAATAGATAATGATTTTGACCTCTTTGCAACAGGAGAAGTATATAATCACTTAACATCTGTATCACCAATTTCTGTTGCATGGGAATATTAATGTGTCTGAACAAAGATTATGTAGAATATTTTATTTTCAAATAGCAAATGAGAAAAACTGTTGTTTGCAAGGAAGAATAGATAAGCAACAAATTCGACTTTGTGTCCCAATATGCTTGACCCCAAGAACCCTAATACTGCAGAGTTTAATGATCATTTAAAATATAAGCTAGGATATTAAGCAATTGCTATTGAGAAATAAAGGTATGTAATTCTCCAGTAATGGCAAAATGCTTTTTTAAAAATGATCCTATTGTCATGGGACTTGATTTATTATTTAGCTCTGCCAAAGGTAGATTGATTTAGGCAAAGTGATTAACCTGTGGATCAGTATTGTTGCCAATCCAATAGTAGATAGGTGACATGAATGAAAGGACTGTTTTGGTGGAGTTATTTGTTTGGTTTGGTTTTTACAGAAGGAAACATTGGTTTATATCTTTTTCTTGAGTTAGTGTAGTATCCCAAACACCTTTCACTGGATCATGAAAGGAAATACACTTTTGATAAATATTTAGTGAGTCACATTCTACATATACCAAAAGTTGTGGAAATGTGTATAAATCACTTTGAGAAAGTTCTTAAACAAGTTAACTATCTTATCTATAAGTGCATCTATTCTTTTTGTAACTTTTATTTATTAAATATAAATTTCCAAAGTACAGCTTTTGGATTACAGTGGCTCCCCCCCCCCATAACTTCTGTCCCACCCGCAACCTTCCCATCTCGTGCTCCTTCTCCCATCCCATTCACATCAATCTTCATTTTCAATTATCTTTATATACTGAAGATCAATTTAGTATATATTAAGTAAATATTTCAACAGTTTGCATCCATACAGAAACACAAAGTGTAAAGTACTGTTTGAGTACTAGTTATAGCATTAATTCACATTATACGACACTTTAACGACAGAGATCCTACATGGGGAGTAAGTGCACAGTGACTCCTGTTGTTGATTTAACAATTGTCATTCTTATTTATGGCATCAGTAATCACCCAAGGCTCTTGTCATGAGTTGCCAAGGCTATGGGAGCCTTTTGAGTTCGCCAACTCTGATTTTACTTAGACAAGGCCATAGTCAAAATGGAAGTTCTCTCCTCCCTTCAGAGAAAGGTACCTCCTTCTTTGATGGTCCATACTTTCTGCTGGGATCTCACTCACAGGGATCTTTCATTTAGGTTTTTTTTTTCCCCCAGAGTGTCTTGGCTTTCCATGCCTGAAATACTCTCATGGGCTTTTTAGCCAGATCCGAATGTCTTAAGGGCTGATTCTGAGGCCAGAGTGCTGTTTAGGACATCTGCCATTCTATGAGTCTGTTGTGTATCCCATTTCCCATGTCAAAACCACAATGAGGTTTCACCTCACCCCAGTCATAATGGCTCACATACAGAAATCTACCAACAACAGATGCTGGCGAGGATGTGGGGGAAATGGGACCCTAACCCACTGTTGGTGGGAATGCAAACTGGTCAAGCCACTATGGAAGTCAGTCTGGAGATTCCTCAGAAACCTGAAGATAACCCTACCATACAACCCAGCCATCCCACTCCTTGGAATTTACCCAAAGGAAATTAAATTGGCAAACAAAAAAGCGGTCTGCACCCTAATGTTTATTGCAGCTCAATTCACAATAGCTAAGACATGGAATCGACCTAAATGTCCATCAACAGTAGACTGGATAAAGAAATTATGGGATATGTACTCTATAGAATACTATACAACAGTAAAAAAAAAAAAAAAAGGAAATCCAGTCATTTTCAACAAAATGGAGGAATCTGGAACACATCATGCTGAGTGAAATAAGCCAGTCCCAAAGGGACAAATATCGTATCTTCTCCCTGATCTGTGACAACTAACCGAGCACCAAGGAGGAAACCTGTTGAAACGAAATGGACACTATGAGAAACAGTGACTTGATCAGCCCTTGTCCAGACTGTTGATGTACAATGTAATACTTTATCCATTTTAGTTTTTTTTATGTTCTACTTAATACTATTGGTTGAACTATTTAATTAACACACAATTATTCTTAGGTGTTTAAATTTAAGTGAAGAGTGATCCCTGTTAAATATAAGAGTGGGAATAAGAGAGGGAGGAGATGTACAGTTGGCACATGCTCAATCGGACTTCCCCCAAATGGTAGAGTTAGAAATGTGTTTGGGGATTCCAATTCAATTGCATCAAGGTGGCATGTACCAATGCCATCTCACTAGTCAAAGTGATCAGTTTCAGTTCATAAATGATCATAATGATAGGATTAAGAGTCAAAGAGATCACATAAACAAACTAGTGTCTGCTAATACTAACTGATAGAATTAAAAAGGAGAGAACTTTCCAGTGCATCTATTCTTAAAGGCATTTACTGTAGTATTCTACAGGGTATTCTTTGATTATTTAACATGTCTCTAAATATGTGAAATGATATCAAAGGATACTTCACAGTTTGGATCTGAAATGCTCTAATCATAAAACTATGCTAATTATACAAAATAACTGGCAATTGCTACAGAAGCATACAAAGATCTCTTTTGAAAAGCAAGAAAAACAAAGCAAATAAAAACTGTCTTTTGAACTTTTTCTTGTAGAATGGCATATTTTAAGAAGTTTGTTTTTCTTGCCTTCAAAGGTTAAGATATTCTATCATATCTTTAGAAACAACTGAGAGAAAATTTCAAGCCTCACTTCAGTCTCTCGCAGGTGCATTTTTGGTTTGTCAGACTGCTTACTCCTGTGAAATGGCCTTTGGTTGATACTGCACACACTCATAATGCGTAGAAGCTCTACCAATTTCCTCTGAGGTGACCATCCACAATGAATGTAATGGCATTGAGAAGATGGAAGGCTGATAGTGGAAAATGAATCGAGTGATCTGAAGTCAAGGAGTTCATCTAGTCACTGCGTTCCTCCCCTGCTTTAACTGAAACTCCTAATTGTGTTTTGCAGGACATGAATGATTATCCTCCTGTGTTTAGTAAGCGAATCTACAAAGGCATGGTGGCCCCAGATGCGGTTAAGGGAACACCTATCACAACGGTTTATGCTGAAGACGCAGACCCTCCTGTAAGTAGAAAGCATTGAATACCCATCATTCTAGTGAGGAAGATCTTTAACACTGACAATTGATCCAGTTCCCAAGACACCGTTCCCTTCCACCATGTTTTGTCCACTTGTCTATGGCACCCACAGGTACAGAACATGCTTCATATGGTTTTTAGTGACCCTGGGCAATTAAGGGTATGCTTTTCTTTTATTGGAGTTCACAATTCATGTACAGTACATGGTAGATAGATTTGGAAAGATTTGTCTACATTTGGAATCACATTTTAGGTGCTTTACTGAGAAGTGTAAGCTTAGTTTAATCTGGATAGCTTTAGAATCGCGTATTTTCCATTTTATACATATAAGATGATTTTGTTAGCAAACTACCATACTCATAGAATTTATATTGAATGTATTAATTTGGATAAGGTAAAATCTTAAAATTGCTCTCAGAACTTATTTTGTAGATTACTTTATCATTCAGAACTTTCAATTCTTTTGAGATATCCCAGATTACCTCTCATGAAAGAGTTTCCACCAGAATATTATAGCAGAAATGTAGTAAATGGTCCTTAATGATGACTTCTTAATGTATTTAAAATAACATATGAAAGTAGTAACTATATAAAAATGTCTTCTAGAAATACCTAGCTTGCTTTTGAAATACTTATTCTTTATTCTAATAAGGGCTGAATGCTGCAGATTTAAGTATTTGAGTGAGCTCATGCTACAGCATTGTCTGATGGATTCTAGAAAAAAATCAATGAAAATATTAAATGAATCTTTTCAAAAAGTAAGAAAATAGAAAAATGAAAACTCTGAAGGGCATGAGTGATTCAGAAATGTTTTTCTATCACTAATATAAATAACAATTTGATAATTTTTTTCTTTAATAAAAGGTGATGGCAGCCATAACATTTTGCAGCATCAATTGTGACAAGCTCATATAAAGTCTATTGTGACTATAAGGTCTTGAAAAATAATAATGTTAACATGAAAGCAATGACCTTTAACTCAGAAGCTCCTTTTCTTATGTGTTAAAATGTCTTTGAAACTGATTTATTACATCTTGGGAAATATAATGGGTAAATTTTTATAGCCTTAAATACACTAATAGAGATGATGAATGTGAAATGGGTGGTTCATCTGTTTTTTTCTGAGTAAACTATCGTAGGCTTATGTATTTTGAAATTAGAAACACCCATTCAGGGAGGAGGAGGCAAGATGGACTAAGAGTCAAAGGAAGCACATAAACAAGTCTAGTACCTGCTAATACTAACCGATAGAATAAATAAAGGGGAGAGTGGTCCAACATGGGAAGCGAGATACTCAGCAGACTCATAGAATGGCAGATGTCCTAAACAGCACTCTGGCCTCAGAATCAGCCCTAAAGGCATTCTGAACTGGCTGAAAAGCCCATGAGAGTATTTCAGGCATGGAAAGCCAAGACACTCTGGGGGGAAAAGAAAACCTAAATGAAAGATCTCTGCGAGTGAGACCCCAGTGGAAAGAACAGGTCTTCAAAGAAGGAGGTACCTTTCTCTGAAGGGAGGAGAGAACCTCCACTTTGACTATGACCTTGTCTAAACAAAATAAGAGTCGGAGAACTCAAGGGACTTCCATACCCTTGGAAACTCATGACTGGTGCATAGGGAGATTACTGATGCCATAAACAGGAGTGTCAATTTGTAAAGTCAACAACAGGAGTCACTGTGCACTTACTCCTCATATAGGATCTCTGTCCTTAATGTGCTGTACATTGAGACTTAATGCTATAACGAGTACTCAAACAGTATTTTTCACTTTGTGTTTCTATGGGGGTGCAAACTGTTCAAATATTTACTTAATGTATACTAAACTGATCTTCTGTAAAAAAAAAAAATGAAGAAATTATCATTCCCAACTTGACTCTCACTGGGATTAAACATGACAATAGGGTCTGCTCTGATTTCATCATCATTTAAAAAAAATCATCTATTATTTTTCACTTTATGTTTGTGTGGGAGCAAACTGTTGAAATCTTTACTTAATGTATGCTAAACTGATCTTCTGTATATAAAGAGAATCGAAAATGAATCCTCATGTGAATGGAAGGGGAGAGGGAGTGGGAAAGGGGAGGGATGCGGGTGGGAGGGACATTATTGGGGGGAAGCCATTGTAATCCATAAGCCGTACTTTGGAAATTTATATTCATTAAATAAAAGTTAAAAAAAAAAGAAAAAACAAAAACAACAAAAAAAAAAGAATTTGATTCAAAAAAAAAAAAAAAAAAAGAAAAGAAACACCCATTCAGTTCTATTTGACACATGTTTGGAGCATCAACTACATACCGGTCATTGTGCTAACCAGTTTCTGTGGTCAAAAAACTGACAGGAGTACAGGAGTAGGTATTTTGTGTAGCGATTTAGACCCCCATTGTCCATTTCAGAACACCTGCATTTGAATCCCCACTCCTGCCACTGCAGGCCCTGGGAGGCAGTGGTGATTGCTCGAGGAGTTGGGTTCTTGCTACCAGCGGGGTAGCCCTGGATTTTGTTCTTGGCCCCCTGCCTTTGCCCTGACCAAGACACTGCTGTTGCGGGCACTTAAGGAGTGAAGTGGAGGATGAGAACACTCTTTATGTCTCTCACTCTTTATCTATCTGTCCCTCTCTGTCTGTTCCTTTCATATTTCTCAAGCAAATAAAACAGATTAAAAATATAAACTGGTAAACTTCTAGGAAAGGCAGAACTGTAACTTAAAATTATAACACTATCAAATGTCTCTTAAAAACACAGTGTTGCCAGCGCCACGGCTCACTAGGCTAATCCTCTGCCTTGCGGCGCTGGCACACTGGGTTCTACTCCCAGTCGGGGCACTGGATTCTGTCCCAGTTGCCCCTCTTCCAGGCCAGCTCTCTGCTGTGGCCAGGGAGTGCAGTGGAGGATGGCCCAAGTGCTTGGGCCCTGCACCCCATGGGAGACCAGGAGAAGCACCTGGCTCCTGGCTCCTGCCTTTGGATCAGTGCGGTGCGCAGGCCACAGCACACCAGCCGTGGCGGCCATTGGAGGGTGAACCAATGGCAAAGGAAGACCTTTCTCTCTGTCTCTCTCTCTCACTGTCCACTCTGCCTGTAAAACAAACAAACAAACAAACAAACAAAAAACAGTGTTTTAACTTCAATTTCAAAAAAATTTGCATTGTTGCCAAATTTAGACATGTTAAGTTTAATGGTTTTAATGAGAGAGTAAAAGTAGTACTGTATTTCAGCCATTTGGGACTGACCCCAAAGTTTTAGTACAGATTGTAAAATCCTTACTTCACCTCTGCACCCATGCCTTCCCTACCTAGCTTGATATTCTGGTCATATCTATCACTGAGAGAGAATTGTCTTGGTTTGTTGCCTGTTCTATAAATTAATTCATGCATAATATTTGTCTAGAGAGACGATACTGTTTTATGCCCAGAATCTCTTTTATAGAAATTTACCAGGTGAGGATTTCACATTTCTTTGGGAAAAGTTATTAGTTTTGCATTCTCTGTACTGTCATAATTTTTTAAAATTTATTTTGAGAGAGAGAGAGAGACAGAGAAGGAGATGGAGTTATTGAGCTTGTGTACTCCTATCCACTAGTTCTCTCTCCAAATGCCCACAATAGCTGAGACTAGGGAAGACTGCAGCCAAGAACTGAGAACTCACTCCAGGTCTCCCATGTGAGTGACATGAGTGCAGTCACCTGAGCCATCGTGCTACTTCCCACAGTCCACACTGTTGAGAAGCCGGTGCCAGGAGCAGGGCTGGGTATTCAATTTTGGCATTCAAATGAGGGAGGTCAGTGTACTAACAGCTAAAACAAATGCCTGTTCATATTGTAATAGTTTTTAACATTTTATATATGATGCTGCCTTTTTAATAGATGAAAAGGAGTTACAAATTATTCAAATGGAATAATGACTGTGCTTGTTTTGGTTATTTAGTAACCAAATTCAGTTACTGAGTACCAGATTCAGTTTTGATCCTTGAAACAGGTGGTATTCTGGTCTAATTTTTCTGATTTGATCTTTTGAATTATTTCTCCAAATTGCATCTCTAAATCAGAAACCACACATGTCAAAATTTTAAAATTGCATTACATTTCTCAGAATGCAAGTATTGTGTTACATATTTTTTTAAAAAAATATTATAGATTTTCAATTATTATTTTGTGTCAGTGCCATAAAAACAGAAATAATATTATGAGGATGAATCTGCTGTGTTTTCTACTCTGTTACTATTTTTTAGAAAACTTTTATTTAATAAATATAAATTTCAAAATTACAACTTTTGGATTATAGATGTTCTCCTACCCCATACCCGTGCTCCCACCCCCAAACCATCCCACCTCCTACTCCCTCTCGCATCCCATTATTCATTAAGATTCGTTTTTAATTATCTTTATATACAGAAGATCAACTCTATACTATATATTTATATAAAGTAAATATTTTAATAGTTTGCACCTACACAGACATACAGAGTATCAAGTACTGTTTGAAGACTTGTTTTACCGTTAATTCTCATAGTACAACACATTAAGGATAGAGGTCCTACATTGGGAGCAAGTGCGTAGTGAATCTTGTTGATTTAACAATTGACACTCTTATTTATGACGTCAGTGATCACCCGAGGCTCTTGTAATGAGCTGCCAAGGCTATGGAAGCCTCTTGAGTTCACAAACTCCAGCCTTATTTAGACGAGGCCATATTCAAAGTGGAAGTTCTCTCCTCCCTTCAGAGAAAGGCACCTCCTTCTTTGATGGGCCGTTCTTTCTGCTGGGATCTCACTCGCAGAGATCTTTCATTTAGGTGTTTTTTTTTTTTTTTTTTTTTTTTTTTTTTTGCCAGAGTGTCTTGGCTTTCCATGCCTGAGTAACTCTCATGGGCTTTTCAGTCACATCTGAATGCCTTAAAGGCTGATTCTGAGGCCTACTCTGTTACTATTATAAATGTTATTTTATTAGTAGAAAATAATTTCAACATCACAGCACCATATTCGCCAGGGA